CTTCCGATTCTTCATTTTCTTTCGTACAGTTCGTTTCGTTTTTATCTTCTTCAGGAAACTCAAGTTTTCTCACACTCAAAACGGGCCTGCAAAGGCACTCCTTTCTAGGACTCCACTTGAGAGCCGTGCAAATCTTGCGGTTTTTACTTAGAGATTTTATCACCCCGATGAAACCCGCCTTCAATTCCGCTTCTATGGCATTCCTCCAGATAGAGGAACTCGAATTGGAAGAGCATTGGCTACACGTAAATTCGATCGAATCGGGCAGGTAACTAAGTATCTGGTAACGCTCATCGGAAAGGCCTTCACAACGGGCATGTACCCAGCAGGAACACTCGCTACATTCCATCATCTAAAAGAACATGTGTGATCATAATATATAAGTAAATATGAAACAAATTTTGCGATTGTGAACTTATTTTATATCAAGATTACATGTACATACTCACCTTTGTGTCAAAATCGTTCTCGTTGTAACATCTCTGACACAAAGGACAATAGTTTCCTTGTTGTCTTAACTTAAAGCACATAGAGCAGAGAGGTAAGTTACCAACGTGAACGTTGACGCCCTCGCTACCACAGCTTTTACATTTAATACAGCTCTGACAAACATAAGGTCGATCGGGACTGTACAATCTGGAGCTAACACCGGACTTAGACAAACATGAATGATGAAACGACTGACGACAACGAATGCAGGATAATTTCGGACCGGATCTGAGATGGCAGGACTGACATATCGTACACCGGGGACAACACCAGTTTGGCTGTGCACAAGCATTCCATTCACTGGGTTCCAAACAGAAGGCATGGTACGGCTCGCAACAGCATTGACAGTGGATCAGCTGTAAAGAAGGATCATTATGTTGATAACGAGTTCTCGAAAAGAAGGCGTGTTACTATTACATGTTCATTCGCTATCCTTCTATAACCTGTATTTCATACATTACTTACCGGCTCTTTACCAGCGCTTCCGCACAGATAGCAAATAGCAGGTATATGAAATAGCTCAGAACCGATAAGAGCGAAACCCTTAGCTCCGACCTCAGAAGGATCGTATTGCTCCCAGAAATCTATGGAAACTGTATATACAGTATCCACAACTGCCTTAGACACCTACAACAAATATATTATTCACATCACTTTACTTTCTATCTTACTTCACATTAACATTCACTAAATTTTACATTAACTATAAAAAATTTAAGTTTGTAGCAAATTTTATAAACGGAATACTAACTTACTAACCTACAGTATACAAAAAAGCAACTTATAGATGTCGTACAAGAAAAATAGAACCTCTCATCCATATGTCAAAATAAATATTGATATGGCTATACTTAGATCATTCATTTCTTTTCGATTATGCTTGAAAGATATCTTACCACTGGAAAATGCGTTGATACACTCTGTTGCGGTTTTCCTCTTCTTGAATGAGACTGTTGTGTCGTGTTAACGTTAAGATTTAAATTATTATCTTCATTATGCTTTTGTATTTCCTTTTCTTTTATATCATCTCTCTTTTCTATTCTCTCATTTTCTTTCACTGTCTTTGGAATGTTTTTACCATGTTCGTTGTCTTCTTTCGCGTCTATAGTAGGAAAAGTTGCAATGGGTTGCCCAAGTGCGACACTGGCGCTTCGACAAACATGCTTAACTCTCGGCCCTTTCAATTCAAGTCTCTGTCTAAGAGGTTGCGACTGTTGGCTGCCAGACGAAGAAGCGATCACTGGATTTTTAATTTTCTTTCTTACTTTAATCCTGTTATTTTTCCTTCGTTTCTTATTAGGCGATATATTCATCGAAGAATCAACTGTAATAAAACACATCATAAGTACAAATAAACGCGATTTCAAAAAAAACATTTATAAAATAATTTGTCTTACACTTATCTATTTTTGTATAGAGAAAACCTCCTGTACCCTGATAACTCGTCTTATGTCCCATTTCAAAATTTCTCCAACTCATAGCAGACTTAAATAAATTTCTTTCCGAGCTATCTTCCGCGGGCCAACTGAGTTTAGACGAGCACAACTTTTGTCCTTGACCATCCTCATCTTGACCAAGTGGCAGAGAAATACTTAAAGGGTCTCTCATTAATGGCGGTAACAATGCGTTTAAGCCTGTTCTCAAAGGAGGTGGAATGTTATAACAGTTCAAACACATTTTCAACCAACACGCCGGGCATCTAGCTTTATAAACGCATCTCATGAGATTCCATTGTTGACTCCTCACAACAGGTGGGACTAAACACAAACCGTCCCCTTTATGACACTGAAGAATGGGAAGAACATTGTTTGAGGATTTAGCACAAGCCTGACGTTTGATCATTTTGCTTATAAACTTTCGGCAAGATTCGCAACTGTGAATACCAAATTTGCGTGCCTGTTTCACGAATCGATAAAATCGCACTGCTCCGCAAACACCACATTTTATAGTACCTGTTAATCCTAAAACGAAAAATAATGAATAATATCTAAAAATAGGATAGTTTTACTTGTTAAAAGTATATGTATAACAAATAGATACAAAATTGCCACAAAGTGTAAAATATCTAACCTAAATTAGTGCTTCCTCCCATAGTGTTACTGGTACTCGTTGTTGAAAATGGTCCTTCTGTTCCAGCTAGACACTTATTGTCCAACTTTAATCTTGCTTTCCTTAATATAACTTTTCCACCATTGAGTTTCATTCCGCTGAAATCCGATGGCTCGCCTTCCGAGTGATTGTTGTGCTCGCTTTCATTTTCAGATAAATTGTTTTCCGTCTCAAAATTGTTCAATGTATTAACTGCAGTCTTATTACCATGTCCAAGGTGATTCTCAGTTTCTGCACAGCCACCTTCTGTCAATCTTGCACCACTGTTAAAGCTTACCTGATTATTACTTAAATCGCTTGCTATTTCATTTTGAGTTCCTGATCTCGTCTGAACTCTGGAAGACTCGAAGTGTGGAACATTGGAATCGGGAAGAACTTTTGTAGGAATAGAAATCTGTTTCTGATTTCTGGAAATTGTTGATTTCACAGTTTGTGTCATCCTGCTCGAGTTTTGTGAGCATTCTTGATTACTATTAGAATTGTCAGATGTGCTGTTTGATACTTTATTCTTACACGATGTAGTATGAGATTTCTTTACTTCTCTATGAGCTGATTTTGATATTTGTGCGTTTTGTACAGAATTCGCTGATTTCTCTATATTTTTTACTGATTGAGTTATAATCTCGGCATTGGAGTCTACACTTTGAATCACCCTTTTTGGCTTGCTTCTTGCTTCTTTAAATTTTTTACACAATTTACTAACAGTATCCTCTTTCAATTTTGATTCCAAGTTGCTAAGTTTATCTGGATTTAATTTAGTCTTTTTTACATGTACACCAATTTCATTCTCGCTATACTCCGTAGTAGAAATTTGTTCCAATTCCTCGATAAATCTTTTATTTGGTTTTATAACTCTTGACGAATGCACGCTGCGAACGGGTAAAACAAATTTTCTCACTGTGCTAGGCTTCTCTCCTGATTGCACTACCAAATTACGTGTATTATTTCCAGATTTCGCCCTTTGAAGCAATCTTTTTGCAGTACTGTTGCGTAACTGTCTGGTTCTTTGATGCTGATCTAAGATGTTGTTCACTGATTTTAACACCGGGTTTTTCAAATAATTCGAAAATTTAATGTTTTTACAATTCTTACGACTTTTTGCTCGGTGAATCTTTGAATGCTTAGTATTTGGATTTGTAACTGGTTGTAACCGGGTGACGTCTTTAACTGGTTTTGGATTGGTAAACTTTTCCGTGCTATTTTCGATGTCTGTAGGAGAATTTTTAACATCATCCTTCTTCGTGCTAGACTGTGGTGCAAGATTTTCGACTGTGACAGATGGCAATTTATCACTTGTCTTCTCTGCATCATGTTGCTGAGTTTTTATATAAGATGCAGAAAGATTAGCCTCTTTAGTGCTAAATCCGTGAAATGGTGGATGTTCCTAAAGAAAAATCACCTAGATGAGTATTAGAAATAATAAATTATTCGACAATGATAATTTATCATAGTATAATTATATCTAAGTATGTATATTTTGTATATGCATGTATGTATGTACATATGTATGTTGTACAGTGAACAAACACAAATTGTCAAACCATGAAAGTAAACAAATGACTAATAAAGTAGATTTACTTTGTCTACACGGCAATCTGCCTTCTGCAAAGTTTTATTCGTAATAAAAAAAAAACTGACAATCCTACATTCTTCTCAGCTGATAAGAAGTTACGGAGCAAGAATTGCAGAAGGCATATCTCACTGACATACTCCGTACCAAAAGCAGCTAGGATAAAATGTATAGAAATGAGTATAGCTCGATCGACATACGGAAGGGGAGGCAATGGTAAATTGAGAAACGAATCATTGAACGGCAAGTAAAGGCCGCAAAGCGAACGCGTCGCGCACCTGCCGTTGGACAATCACTTATCACCGCGGTTGATCACCGCCGATAGGTTAACCCGCGCGCTACGCCGCGCCAAAGTTCGTCGTCGGCCTGTGTATCGCAAGTGTGTCCACCGAGTGCGTGTCCTCGTGACGCTTGCCGGAGCCGGACAATACGCGCGACTTGCGAGCGGCGAGACGCGGTGCGACGCGCGACGCGACGCTCGTCGATCTCACGCGACCTCGGCCTCGCCGAGCAACACGGCGGCGACATGGTAGCGGCTACGAAAACGACGGCGACGGCGACGGCGACGGCGACGGTGACGGCGACAACGGATAGCAACGGCGAACGCCTCAACGCGACGACCTTTTTCCCCCTCACCTTCTCGTTGTCGCCGAATGTTTCGTTGAACAGGGAAAGTCCGTAGTAGATGTTTTCGGCGACAGTTACCGGATCGTTCTGCGCTGCCTCAGGCTGGCCCAGCACCTTGATCCGTTTCCTGGTGGCCGTCTTCGGCGGCTTCCCGGGAAACTTGGACCTTCCCATGTTCACCTGTTTTCAACGACGGACCTCAACCTCGCAGCGAAATTCCGCTTCCATTTTACTCGCGATTTGTGCCCACGGCCGAGAGGCGCACCGACTCTCTCGCGTACACTACTATACACCAACGTATGCTTTCCGATATACCGTCATATACGCGCGCGCGCGCACGCGCACACACACATACATACACAGCAAAGTACGCACTGTTAGTATCACTAGTACTCCGCTATACTCTCTGCTACGCGCATGAGCACGGCCACCGCAGCCGCCGTGTTGCTCTCTCGCTCACAGTCTCTCGCGGCCCGCTGGCTCTTCGGCCGACATCGGCCCTCGTCGGACGCGCTCGGACGTGGCCACAAAATACGCGCGTACTTGTCAAACAGAGAACCTGGACTACCAAGGCGGAATACGCCGTGTTGAAATACGATTGCCAGGCTGCCACCGTGCCGTTCGTCGCTGGTCGTTGGTCGCGCCGTCACGCTCTTTCTCGCTTTATGACAAATCCTTTAATAGTCGGACCGCAACGTTTCGCTCGTCCAAAATTTACACAGTTTCCTATTAACGCTTCAGTTTGCAATTTAATGTTCGCCGACTGCTTATAAATGATCTCTACGTTTGTCCGTGTCAATGGAAACGCGGCAAATGGCGTAAGGTATATTTCTCTTCTGCAACTGCAACTTTGAAAATTAAATTCATTTTGAGAAATATTCATAAAATTACATCATATTTTTAAATTGATATCTATCTGGTCGTATATACTTGAAATCATGGCATGCGATATTATTATTATGCAATATTATTATTATTAATATTATTGTTAGAATATTCCGATTTTAACATATTTATTTTTAATTGTATTGTTTCTTTACGGATCACATCTCGCGTGAATATTTGGCGACAAGAAAAAAGCAGTAAGGACGGTACGCAAGGAACGACGCACTCGAATGAGGGAGGGTCACGTGACTGCTAGTGAACATCGAGCATTGAAAAGCGCGACTAGTTTGAACGCGCTCAACGTTCACATTTCGCGCGTTAACGCTTATTTTGATGAATATTTTATTCATGAGTTATTGCCTGTCAATAACTTGCCGACTTGAATATCGATTTTATAATCGTTTCCCTTGGATAAATCAAAGAACGCACAGGATGGAGAATAATAACTCAAGGTATTATTAAACGGAACAATTTGCGCTTGTTGAGCGTGATCTTAAATTTGTTTATTAAGATCGCGACTTATATCGTAATTATCATAATAATACATAAAAATATCCGCCTATTTTCACCTTTCGCATATGCAATTACGAAAGTAACTTCTAACACGCACAACCATACTTCACGCAACGTTCGGTGCACTGAGACCAATTACGCCTTACTTCGTGCATAGTTCATTAAGTTACTTTCGTACGTGCTCTATTAAGAGGTTAACGTACGAAAAGTACTAAAACAATTGCTCAGGAAAAATACATCGCGAGATAACAAAGATTGCAAATATACACATAGAAAAGTATATGTACTACACAAGTATGTAAATAATAATTACTTGTTTCAAATATTTCAAAAATTCATAAAACCTCGGATCTATACTGAAGGGAAACGAAATAGTTCTGGCAACTATAAATTTGGCAATTTTTGCAATTGAAATACCTGTACTAGTTTTACAAAGTAATAGAAAGTAGTGCTGAATGTTATAAAAATATAGTCACGGTAACAAATTATATCCACTATTAATTGAAACAGTGATTCAACTACATTGAGTAGTTACTTGGACTTCATGCACATAGATATAATTACATTTTTCTAGTTTAGACAAAAACTTTTTTTTAATAAATATTTTCTATATCATGTAACTAATTAATCATTGTTGAGATAACTTTAAGGAATATATTGAAAACCTTTCCTCTAAAGTCGCTCAGCACGAACAGTATGCGACTTTAGAAAAAGAAGATTGTCACCAAAGGGACGTAGCGAAGTTCAGTTTCTCTCATAAAGGAAACCACAATAAAAACGTAGGATTGGTTTCGAATTTGAAAGACAAAAATGAATAAGAAATGCACACACAAATTTGTAACTATATATTATAAAACTTTAATAAGAACAATAAGTAAATTTAAAAAATATAATATTAACTATTTATAATTGATTATTTGGTTAATGTTACTATATTTTCTTAGCTCACTTAATCTAGTATTTTTAATAGAATTTAATAATATGTATAATATAGTTGAGATGCTATTTCACTACAAATTTATAGTTATTGATACTTTTTTCTCTAAGTGTATCATAAGTACATCACAAGTATCAAATTTATTTAAAGTATATTTTAAAAATCCTAGTAAGCTTAAGTGAAGCACTTCAGTGAAGATTAAATTAAATTAAACAAATTAATTCAATTTACTTACTATATAATGTCACTTCTTCGATCAATTTTATAATGAAAATAAATTTATGTTTCACATACATAATAATGAGCTTTCCTAAAATTTGTAATAAGTTTATAATAACGTTTTAAAATTATTATTAAGAAAAGATTTTTTGTTAAAGATAACCGTTATTTAAAAAGAAGAAAGTAAATTGAGTAATTGTTTTTCTGACCAATGATATTTTTCTGCACGATCGTACCAATGTACATACATATGTTCGATCACTTACACGAGCGCGCAATTATTTGCTTATCTGTTTCATTGTGCCCTTCCACATCTTCATTGAAATTAAGCCAGTTGCCTCGTATTCAGGCTCAGATCAGCCTTTACGGAAGATTTATCGGCGATTCGTTTACTCCTTAGCGCATTCCCAGGTTGTCGGTTCATTATTTCCGGCGAAGCTATCGCACGGGAATAAAGATCGTTTTCGCGGCGGTTCGTTCTAATTGCTTCCGGTATATTCTATCAAACGTATACACACATTCCAACTGTGCGTTTCTCAAACAGTAATTAAGATCACACCGTAATACATCGCTTTTGTCGACGCCGTTATTGCGCTTACCTCTCTGAAAGCAAGGAACTAATGTCCATTTCTACGAATGTAGATTAACTTTAAGGTTTAATTTATTTTTTATTTGTTTCTAATTCTTAAAACTAGAAAAAGATAAATTAAAGCAAGATTAAAGTTAATCTATATTGGCAGAAACGGACATAAAACGGTCGAAGAACCGCGGGCTGTCGATAGATCGATTTCTTGTACGTATTCTTGTACCTATGTATTTCCGTATACGCATATAGGACTTCTTGAACTGAATGCGCAAAGCGGAACATCTGCGCCCATCCAGCGATATGTAATATTTAAAGCAGGCTTGATATGTTCTAACGCGAGAACGAGATTAAAATTCGTCATTTAAATTATATATTTAAATATAATATTCTTATCGGGTTCATCTAAAAACAAGTAGCATTTAAGTAAAATGTATATAGAAAGATATTTCAGGATTGAGAAGATATTATCGTAGGGAAATATTTAGGATATATCTCTTGTAGACACTCGTGGAAAATTATAGCAAGATAATCCTTTGTTTACGCGCTGCGTGTAATAAATAGGAACGAGTAAATTGCCCGTACCACTAAAATTGCCGTATCGCTAAAACTGAAAATCATTTCTCTCCGGAAAGGTCAGTTCTGTTTGTGCGACTAAATATTTTTCCTTTAATTTACATACCATATTGTAGATTATTTTTAACACTCTATATATATATATATATAAAAAAAATATTTTATTTAAAACTTAAAACTCATTAAAAATTAACATATTCATACAATTTACATTATAGTGCACATAATAATCACAGCATGTATCTCTCGAAATAACCGGCAACAACGCATTCGTATCGGAAATTATAATCTGTTGAAATAAAGTTTAGCGTAACCAAAAATAAGATATTTATTGATTATCAATACTTTACTATATAGAAGAAACTGTAACATTTTTTAAAAATAATTTGCAACATGTAACTGGAACTTTCAGTAGTTCTGATATTTTCGTCGGCAATCTTATATATACAGTAAAAATAAATAAGTACTGAATATTATTTGTGAAATGTCCTGCATGCTTTTTATCTCATACAATGAAAATTGACTTAATGATACTTGTTGTGTAACACATTTTATTTTTTGATCGAACAAAAACCAAAATATTCGGTATCTTCTTTTAAATACTCTATTTCTTTTTTTTTATACGTACTTTATAGATATAATTAACAATGTATGTCAAGACACATCAGTGATTTTAACAAATTCTTGACATTCTTGTTAAATTATATAAAAATTCAAACAAGATATTGTCAGTTTGTCAATATCGTTTTGAAAAGATTTTTTTAAACACATTAAAATTTTCTTGTTAAAAATTTATTCATGTCTATTAATGCTGTTAAAGTAACATTCGCAATATTTATAAGATATCATAAATTGACGTATCTTTTGATTTTTCTGAGGGAAATGAAAAATATTGCTTCTAAAACGTTTCTTTTATTATTCAAGAATTTATTGCATAAACATCGTTTTTAGAAGTGCTTTCTTAAGTTTTCCTCGATTCTCACAAAAATTTGATTTTACGAAAGAAAATCAAAATATTTATCCATTTCCATGGGTGAAAAAAAAATTGTCCCCTAAAACGTTTCTCCGAAAACTTTGTTCGGTGTGTGAAATTGCGCGCGATTTTAACTGCGAGCGATTCGTTTATTGGGTCGCGCGCTGGCCGGCCGGCCAGAAAATCACCACCTGCCGTGGCCGTGGCTGCCGAGTTAAATATCGGACCGGCGCGTGTCGTCGCGTCGAATTGCGGTGCGAGAACAGGCATCTGGTTCGAGGGCGCGTCGTCTACGAGCTCGTTACCAGCGAGCGTCTCACCAGCGAGCTCGCTCACTCGCTAACTCGCTCGTTCGCTTATCTCTCCATCATTCCGCTCGAAATACTCGAGCGGGTGTGGTACCACCGGTCGTACTCGTTGGGATCGGTCAACTAGCCGGTTGTAACGGAGCTATAAGATCTGCTGTTCCGTTTCGTTGCTTTGCATCGCGTACCTCTCTTCCGAGGCTGCATCGTCCTGACTTGCTAGAACTTTGCATAGAAATACTCGTATCATCCTCCTCAACGATTTCAATCTTTTTCACTCACACAAGTTG